GATCTCGATATTCTTTCGTTCCCGATGCATTTTGGGGTTGGGAGACGCGCTGTCCCTAATGGCATGTCGTGCGCTGGGCCAAACGAGTCGGCCATGTTTGTGTTTCGAACACTGCGAACGATCTGAAGGACTTGCTCGTTATTTCTCACCTTAAGGAGTTCTTGTAAGTGTCTTCGCTTCACTAGCTAAGTTTACTTGTATCGTGCTGTGATTTTGCGTTCCTGTTCGATTGTAGAATGGTCCCTTCATCGTTGGCATTAAAGTGAATTTTGCTTATTGAGAAGGCTGTTTCTTCAGAGACAGGCAAACTACTTGTAACGTGACCAGGGACAGCGTTAAAAGTTAAACCAGAACATGGCAGACACACACGAGGAACTGTGACTTTAAACTCGTAAGTACTACATTTGTGTTTGATGACTTTGGTAAAACACGAAAAATATAGGCTCCATAGTTATTTCGCTGTATCAAACGCCATTCATCGCTTTGATATATACTACGTATTGACCTTTCTGTGTCTGTCTCCTATCTCCTTGATAGAAATCTGAAATCTTGATAGTCAATTTCTCGCAACACATCGAAACGACGCTTGTTTTTGGTCGGTGAAGTACGTCAATAAGCGTCAAATTTAGGTCAATAATCAACGTGCAGAAACTGATGCGACTATTGTATTCGCAATTGATAATCACACGAACGGATGTCTAATTCAAAATATGATTCAATGATACTCCAAGTATGAGTGTAGAAAACGTTGCAACAATTTTAAGGGCAACAAAAATACTCAGAAGAAGTAGGAAAGCAAAAACTAGAAGTTCCCGACGAGTTTTGTTTTGTTTTGATTTTCGCACGTTTACGGCTGAGTTGTTGCGTCCTTCCAGCATTCATTTGAGTAAGTCGTTTGTCTGAATTCTTTTATTTGTTGCTTCCAAATAATTTTGGAATCTTTGATTTCGAATCAAATTGAGTTAATACTAGTTTAGAAAGGTCATGAAATGAGCAAAGCACTTCGAAGACCATGGCTCATGCCCACCGAGCTCTTCAGCCACGCAACTGCAAAATGTAATAAACCAGACGTAGTCAGTCGATAAACCGATAATCGATATTAATCGATAGCAATCGATATCAATCGAAGATATCGATTGTTAATAGCAATCATTGAAAGTTGATATTATATAGGTATGAAATTTCGCGATTTTAATCTTCGCGTGTCCTACATTTCTCGAGTATTACAGTCAAGCTCACAAAACCGTGAACACCTAAAATATGCCTAAAATGTTTATTGTGTTATAACCAATCAAAAGCGAGATCTTCAACCACAGAAACTATAGAAAGTGGATGTATTGCATCGGTCATGGAACTATAAATATTGATCGTTTTCATTGTCACGCAATAAAAAAATAAATCGAAAACCATCCAGTGGAAAAAGCTATGAAATTATGATGTTATGGAAGATAACTAAATAGGCCACTTCTCCAAGTTTTAGGCCTGTGTGTTTCCCCAAACTTCAGATATTCGTCGAAATGTTTCGACGATATTTACAGAGCCCAGTGTGAAAACGCCATGTTGGTGTACCTCCGTGATACACCAATATGGCGGCCGGAAAATAGTGTAAACATCTGG